TGGTATCTTCTACTTTCATGGATTTGTATTTCTTTGCTTTAAGCCTATGTTTGCAAGAAGAATTTGTTGGAACAATCTTCTGTGTAAATAAAATAACTCGAAATAAATTCAAACAAAATAAATAAATAACATACCAGATTTATTTATCGAACCGAATAAAAATTAAGACCAAGTCGAGTGTGTGACACTCTGTCCTTAAGACAGATTCGCCCCGCTACGGTGCTTACGGTTGAATGGCGTCTATCTCCCAGGATACAATGATCTTCACAAATTTATAGAAGCACTTCAAATAAATTTATTCAGCGAACCAAACCTGCGATCTATACTCTCTTTGATTACCCTAAAATAATATGAAGAATAAAGGACGCAAGAGAGCAAAATGAAGGCAAGGAAAATGAATTTTCGGAATCCTCAAAATTGGAATGGGGCTGCCTTTATATAGGCTTTGTTGGCACCTATTCAAATTGAATAGAAAAGGTATGAAGAAGGGACATGCCCCTTCCTTTAAAATAAAGAGACACCATGAAAGGTTTGCACCCTTTCATTCAAATGGAGGTTATGACCCTTCATTTAAAACAAAAAGACACCATGAAAGGTTACACCTTTTCATTAAAAACGGAGTCTATTTCAATTCACAACTACCTCTTTATAAATTTATAAATTTTCCAACAGAATTTGGGGGGATTTATGAAGCAAAAGGAAAAGGAAAAGTATCGGGAAACATGAAAAAATTAAACTTATATTTCATTTACTTTTGCCTTCATTTTAGGTTGACATTTATGAAAATGCTAAGTGTGATCCTTATTTATTTGTAAAGATGCAAATGTTTATATTTGTTACTGTCAATTTTATTTTTTTTAAATGTATTTGTTATTTTATCTATTCTACTATGTAATAAAGGAGGGTTGGGCATAAGCTATGGTAGGAATTTCTGTTCATATCTAGCTTTAGCTGTTGCAGATATATTAATAACTTCATCTTATCAGGTTTATTATTTTGATTTTTTATATGTTTGAATTCTGTTCGAATGATGTGAAAATAGAGGAAATAGATACAATACAATTTTTTCTAGACTTTTCGTTCCCTTTCTTTTTTTTTTTCTTTTTTTTTTTTTGAACAGCAAATAAAAACTTTATTGATGAAATTAGCAGTGGACATGCAAAAATACATCAACCAATACTTTTCGTTCCCTTTCTTAAATTGAGGATTTGACAACTGTTGGCTTCTAATTTCGCTAATGGTTTTAGTGCTGAGTTTGAGGGTCAATAACAAGTTTTTTGCTAAGCTTTTACCGGTTTGAGGTTTGTGAAAAGGGAAAAAAGGAGGTTTCATTTCATTCTTTGCAAAGATTGGTATTTTGCGAACTGATTTAGCTACTTTACCTTTCATGTGTTTACCAATATTGGTTGTGAAGTTTATCAATAGATTTTCCCTGACTAAATTAATTGTATGTGTTTTCTTGCAATGAAGATGAAAAAGATTCAATAGAAATATAGAAGTTGATAATGGTAACATTTTTTACTTCTTGTCACAATTATGGTCAATCATTTTGGCAGTGGAATCCATTAGTCAAAAGAATCACAAGCCTTCACCTACCAGGTATTTTGTTTTTATTTACCATATGTTTTGGAGTCAGAATTTAAATAGAAATTTGGCATTTTCTTATTGACTAATCCAAGTTGATTGTTTTTTTAAAAAAAATTTCACATATCTATATGAATATAATAACAGTGACCACTATCCTTGGGTTTGTGAGCTCATAACAGATCATGTTTTAATAACTTGAAAAGTTTATTTTGTAAGGTTTTTTTTAGAGTGGTTGTAAGGCTATATTTATATATCATGTATGAGAAAAAAAAGCTCGATCTAATAAGTATAGCCAACTACAACATATAAGATATTTAGGGATTAAAAATTTTTTATTGCAAAAAATATTTGGGGATCAATTCTAGTTGTCGCAACAATGGTCGTTAAAAAATCGTCTCGAAAAGTAAAAAACAAAGTTTTTAGCTACAAAACTTTGAAAATATCGCTAATAAATAAACGGGATAAAATAATTTGGTTTTAAAAATAATTTTTTTGAGACACAAATTTTAATCCCAAGAGGATAGTAATTCATTAGTAATATCTAAATTTTGTTACTAAAAATATAAAAATGACACTATTGGCAACAAAAATACATGGTGACTAAAAAGTGTTTTTGTTCCTAAATTCTTGTCTCTAAAATCTTAATTTATTATAATAACTATTTCATTTTGTCATTTTTATTTTTCAAAAAATAAATAATTTATTTTTAAAAACACACTTGTCTTTAATTTTTCATTAAACGTCAACTTATTTCAATACAATTAAAAAAAGAGTCAACATGAGTAGTTACAACATTTTGTTTGATAAGGTAAGTAGGTTTTTTTTTTTTTTTTTTTTTTATCAGTAAAGAAAATCTTTATTGATGATGAAACCATACATTACATATGGGAATACATCAATAAGGATGAGAAAGAAAAGGGAGAAAAAGGAAAACCAAGCATAGTGTTGGTGAGAAACCATCACTAACTCACAAGACCACAACCACTAGATTCTACCACCCAAAAAACTAGCTTAACAACTTGTTGCCACCACCCAAAGACCATCTAACAAAAGCATAAAACCCACTACATGCTCCAATGTTGCTTACTTGTTGTCATCCTACTTCCTTCTTAGACCCATCCCTCCTATTTGGACCTCTCTTTGTCCTGTAACTCTAACTCAATAATCTTATTTAGAACATCCTCTTCTTTTCCATTGAAATTAATGCCAAGAGATTTACCCAATTGTAAAGTGGGTTTAGCTTCATTGAGGAGCAGATTGCTCAAGCTAGTAACACCCTCAGATAGATCTGAACGAGCTATCGCAGCTGTTGCTAGTCTAAAGATGATAGACTTAGAGCTGTGCTTGCTGACTGCTGCAGCTTTATGCCCATGAAGTCTAGTAAAACTGGTGAACCCCTCTAGCTGAACCTTTTTCTTTCTTTTTTTCTTATCATTCTGCAGGAGTTTAGGGACAGAGGCAGGTTGCTTCCCTAAGCCTGAATGATTTAGGCTTAGAAAACCCTTTCCATTTAAATTCATACTTAGTGCTTGGGCCAAATCCACTTCAATATTGATGCCATGTCCATGCCCAACTCTAGATCCACTAAAGCTTTTGGGGAAACCAGGAGTAAAAGCTTGCTCAACATTAATTTTTGGACTGTGCACTGACTCCTCCATCATGGTCTCCTTGACAACTGTGTTAACCTCCTCTCCCAAATGACAATCACTAGGCCCTATCCTCTGTTCTACCTCCTTGGAACAAGCTTCCTCTTCTCCGCTGAAAACTCCATCACACTTTAACTCCTCAACAACTGTGTTTACCTCCATCATTCTTATTCCCTCCTTCTCCCTATAGCATTCCTTTGGAATTGTTCCTTCCACACCACTGCTACAGATTTTGTTGGAATTGCACTCTTCCAGACCATCGTGTTTCATGATACTAAGTTCTGCTAAATGTTCTTCACACACAAGAATGGGATGAAGTTTACCCTTGCACTTCAAAAATATAATTTTGTTAATACTCTCCATAGAAGATGTAGCCACTCTGATTCTGGTATGGGAGAAGGACTTTGGTTGGCAAATATCTCCACCCAAGCTTAGAACAGTATCCCAAATGCTTCCAATGTTGTTGAATGTGTCCCTATTCCAAAGACTTAAAGGTAAGCCATAACACCTCAACCACACACATCTCTCTTGTTCTAGATAAAATCCTGGCTTCCATTCTACCACAAACCGACTCCAATCCTTAAGCCATTCTTTGATATTGCAAATATTTGATTTCAGCTCCTCTTGAGATTTGAAGGTTAATACTATATCTCTTCCTCCCCTTTTTCTGGCCATTACCTGATCCAACCCTTTCTCCTTCAGGACATTTTCAATGCTAATAGTAGAGTATTCAGAATTAAGCCTGACTATTGCACTATCATAAAGCCGTCCATTACCCTCTTCATTGGCTTTTATGATCAATCTTGTTTTCTCAACCACAGTGGGTGTGACCCTTTTTAATACTTTAGCGAATGATCTTCGGCCTATAAATGAAACATCATCCTTGTTTTTGATAGTTTCAAGAGGCCTTTTGATGGTATGAGGTCTGCTCCTGCTCTGTTCATCTTTGTTGCTCTTGATATTGGTAGCTTTTTTGACTTCTAACACCCTTTCATCTACCAACAGACCATTCGCTTTTTGGATGGCAATGTCTACTGCTACAGGGCAATCAAATCTCACAAAACCAAATCTAGAGTTTGACATTGTCCTTCTTTTGAAGGGTATAAAAACATCCTTAACTATGCCAAGCTGAGTGAATAGTTCGGACCGAGTTTTAGCATCCATACTTGAAGGTAAATTATCCACAAATAAAGTGAATAGTCCATGCTTAACTTCCTTATCTTGAACTCCACGGAATCCAACCTCTGTTTACTCCTTGTGTCATTGCATTTTCACTGAAGCATTTTATCAAATAGGTGGAGTGCAAAAACTTCTTAACTGCGTAGAACAGGACCAGCTACTCTTGGCTTCCCCCAAAACACAATACCCAGATTCAATCAGAGGGTCAGAGAGGATGCAAAAAGCCTTACTCGAATGATAATGGATGGTATATTTGAAAGAGTGATCAAGTCGCCACTAGTGAGTTCTAACCAAGATCTTCTTCAAATTCGAACCACTGACCATTGCATATCATCGATCGGTGAATTGCTGAACGCCGAGGAGATCACTAGAGATTGCCGATCATAGTCGATGGAGATGCTTCGCGTCTAAAGAGGTACCCTTCAATCATTTCGCCGATCAGTTGTTACCAAATGATAAGGTAAGTAGGTTAAACACCATAATTTATTTGAATACAAATTATATTATTTTCTCAATAAATATGAAAATAATTACATATACGAGAAGTATTATATTAAATTGATTACTAGTCTAACAATACCTAGAAAGCTAACCGTCACCAAACCAACAGGCACAGTAGCCCAGGTAGAAACAAACACCACATATATCAAATTTCTGTCATAGGAGTTGACCTCGTTATTTCATATAACGAAATTTAAGTGATAATTTCACACCAAACAGTAGTACTAAAAAATCACTAAGCGAAAAGCTTTAATTTATTTGAATAGAAGGTGTGTGGGTGATTTTCCGACCACACTGCCCGCTTAGTAACCAGCTGGGGAGCACTGGCAGAATAGATGGCCCCTGACTGACCTGTAACAGAAATATAAGAATCCCGCGGTGGTTTCGCTTCTTCATTTTGAATCCTCATGACATCAATACATGACTTTCCCCGGAGTTCACAAGCAAGGAAAGCTTTCAAGTAATCGGTAACATTAACTCGCCGGAATATAGCAGGAGTTTGAGAAGTGATGAGGCTGGGAGCCGGACCCACATCTAGTTCCAAATTTGCACCGAGAAATGTGGCGACGGAGAGTCTCTCTTTCTCGGAGTTAACTGTTGCTCTGTGCTCTATGCTCTTGTATATTCCATTTGTCACCATCTGCCAAATACCATGGAAGTCAAAATGACAATAGATTTCCCACTGCCTAGTTGTGTGTGGCCATGATAAACTGGCCAATGATCTTCTATCTGATATTTCATAACGCTCACCACAACTACTGAATCATTAGAAAATTTAGAGATATGATAATTTAATGAATGTGAATGGTTTGGAACAATAGAACAAAAAGATTTTAAAAAAAAACAATAATGGTAAAAAATGTTACCGTATTTACATATCTGCCACTGTGCAGGAGAATCCGTATAGGTGTTCGAGTGATCGAACCGTAATGCGCAAGAAATGGTATGTAAACCCCGTATTTACATATCTGCCACTGTGCAGGAGAATCCATTTTGGTGCTCGAGCTTTCGAACCGTAATGCGCAACAAATGGTACGGAAACCCAGTATTTACATATCTGCCACTGTGCAGGAGAATCCGTATAGGTGTTCGAGTGTTCGAACCGTAATGCGCAAGAAATGGTTACTAAACCCCGTATTTACATATCTGCCACTGTGCAGGAGAATCCATTTTGGTGCTCGAGCTTTCGAACCGTAATGTGCAAGAAATGGTCCCGAAACCCCGTATTTACATATCTGTCACTGTGCAGGTGAATCCGCATAGGTGTTCGAGTGTTCGAATCGTAATGCGCAAGAAATGGTATGTAAACCCCGTATTTACATATCTGCCACTGTGCTGGAGAATTCGTAATGGTGTTCGAGTGTTCGAACCGTAATGCGCAAGAAATGGTACCGAAACGCCGTATTTACATATCTGCCACTGTGTAGGAGAATCTGTATATGTGTTCGAGTGTTCGAACCGTATTGCGCAAGAAATAGTACTGAAACCCCGTATTTACACATCTGCCACTGTGCAGGAGAATCCGTATAGGTGTTCGAGTGTTCGAACCGTAATGCGCAAGAAATGCTACCGAAACCCCGTATTTACACATCTGCCACTGTGCATGAGAATCCGTATAGGTGTTCGAGTGTTCGAACCGTAATGGGCAAGAAATGGTACCGAAACCCCGTATTTACATATCAGCCAATGTGCAGGAGAATCCGTATAGGTGTTCGAGTGTTCGAACCGTAATGCATTAGAAATGGTACGGAAACCCCGTATTTACATATCTGCCACTGTGCAGGATACATATCTGCCACAGGTTCTGGTTCCATTAATTCGTAAACTCCAAGAGCTTTGCAACTGCTCCACTCACACTCTCTGGTGAGTTCCCGATACTTATTTGACTCCGGCGATTTTCATATCGGCGTTCATTTCACTTGGTAGGTTCATAAACTCTTTACTTGCTATTAAGCTCGATCTTTCATAATTCTTCTGATTTACTTTAAATCTGTTTATTTGCCATCTGTTGCCTTCTATTTTCATCTGTCTTCAAGTCTTGAATTGTTTGAATGTCTGGCACTTGTTCTTGTCATATCTGCTTTCTGTTGCTAGCATCGTGTCTGGGTCATTACTTTCTTGTTCTTCACATACTTACTTAGCGCCCGTGCACTTAGCTTTATTCTTCAACTTTGTCATCTTCTTGACTATGATTTTTTCTTTTCTTGTTCTTTTCAAAAAATGCTCTGCAACTGTCTTTGTTCCTCTTCTCCGGTGAAGCTTATGTGATTCTGTTATTTTCGCATCTGTCGTCAGACTTCGGCAATTCTCATTCAAGCTTCCCTCTTTCTGCTAAGCCACTTTTCCTCCTGGTTTTATTTCTTGTTGCTTTCCAAGAAGCTCTGCATCATTGTTAATCACCATTGCTGTTTTACCCGTTGTTTCCAAATCATCTTCTTGACTACACACTGTTCATACATCTGTTGATTTCTACCACTGTTCTTGGCTTGACACACTTGTGCAATCTTTTTGTCTTGATTTCTTGATAGCTTCATCACCATTTTTGATTACATTCTTGTTTCTGTTTTCTGTGTCTTTTTCCAGATTCTTGCTTTCAATCTTTGCCTTTAAACTCCGAGGTGCCAATCGCCAAGAAGAGCTTTGATCAATTTCTTCAGGAGGTTGATGCTGAGCTCATGGCTAAGAAGGCTGCTGAGAAGTTCTTTCCAACTGTCTTCTGGGGGTGAGACACAACCTGCCGCTGATGCCGAGTAGTTTGCTTCTTTCTTGAAATTGATGCTGAGGTAACGATAGAGAAGCTCCTTCAACTAACTGCCGAGGCTGAGCCATTGTCGTCCGTTGAAGCAGATTAGTCCGACGTTCTTGCTTTCAGTCCCTAGTTCTTTAAGGTCTTCATTTTTGTACTTGCCAACCTTCTCAGCTCTTAACAAGATAGTTGGTCATCTCGGTTGATCATATCTCGGAAAATGTCTTTCAGTGTTATCTCGACTATACCAAACTTGTAAATTGCTACAAATTTCAACAAGTGGTAGACTTCATAATCTTCGGTTAACTCATTTTGTAATTTGCTCAAAAATTTCAACAAGTGATAACATTCCTTGCTCCTTAATTATCATTCCTTCCCCCTACACCTTCTCCCTGCCCCCTAGTTGGTCATCCCGGTTGATCGTATCTCGGAAACGTCTTTTAGTGTTTATCTCGGCTATACCAAACTTGTAAATTGCTACAAATTTCAACAAGTGGTAGACTTCATAATCTTCGGTTAACTCATTTTGTAATTTTCTCAAAAATTTCAACAAGTGATAACATTCCTTGCTCCTTAATTATCATTCCTTCCCCCTACACCTTCTCCCTGCCCCCTAATGTGAATGCAAGTTGTACTTAGGATCACATTAGGGAAGTGGGCTTCGTGCTGTAGACCTGATGTGTTCTTCTTTCGCCGATGTATTACAACTTCTGGTATTTAATTCACCCCCTTTAGACCCTCTTTCTCTTTGGCCTTTGCAAATTATAATCGCTGTCTCTTGAAGCATTTATTCCTTTCACAATTCTGGTCACCACTTCTGGCGTGCACTTAGTGGTTCTAATCAAAACGTCGTTTGACTCTGGCGAATCTTTTGCCAATATTTTAACTTTGTGCACTCTTTAGCTTGTAAATTCTCTCATAATTTCAACAAGTGTTAAACATCATTTCAGTTTAACTTCAGTTAAGCACCATCTCAGTTTTTAAAGTTTTTTTTTTTCGCTTGTACTCTTGTACCTTTTTGTTCTTTAGATAATGTAAGCTCTGCATATGGCCGATGTGCCTCCTTATTCTTCAATGTCTAATTCAACTTTCCTTCTCTGAATGAAGCGCTCTTCGTCGCCCTCCCGGACGAGGATTTTAGCGGCGTTTTTTAAACGCCACTAAAAGTTAAAATTCCTGCAGTGAAAATTTCACTTTTAGAGATAAAAAGTTTAGTTTCTGAAACTGTTATACATTGTTTTTCCTGATGAGATTTTGATTACTTTCCAAATAAAGTGTTTTTAGTTAGAGAGATTCATTTGAGAGCATAAATTATTATATTGGTTAAGAAAACTACGTAATCGTGTCCCCACTCAATGGTATTTTCTTATATCATTTTCTTGTTTGTAGGGTCATGTACTTTGTAAGGTCCTTACTATTGGTTGAGCACTGTGAATATAAAATTTTCAAAACACATGATAATTACTCGAGAGTGAGTGAGAGAGAGAAAGAGAGAGACCTTAATGTTGTGTTTGATTGAGAGATTTGGTTAGGGATTTAGAAAAGGAAAGAGAAAAAGTGTGTGAAACTAGGTGAAATGTAGGTATATTTTATTCACATTTCACCTTACTTTTCTCTTTCTCTTTCCAAATCCCTCTTTAAATCTCTCAACCAAACACAGCATAATGGAAGAGGGAGTTTGGGAAATAAATGAGGTTTTCTCAAGTGAGTTGGAAGGGTGACCATGTAAAAGAGGTCAGCCCAATCAAGCTTCTGTTCCTCGGACCCAACAAAGGCTTGTTTAAATCCTTCTATATCCTCTGGTTGTTGCCAAAGCTTGTCCTTCTCTTCTATTGGCAGATTGAAGAAATCTTGAATCTCCAATTTCACCTTCTCTACCAATGAAGAGCTCACTCCATGATCTATTACCTGCAATTTTATTATAGAGTAAATTACAAATATATCCCTTGAGATTTACTTAAAATGCGAATTGTCCCCTGTAGTTTAGAAAATAACAAATATCTTTCCGTCAAATTTTTTTATTTAATAGAATTAATTGAAAAAGTGAAATTTCTTACTGTTCACCTATACAATAATAAAATTATCTGAATTATTAATTAAAATAAAATTTTAACATTGTTAAAAACTGTTAATTAACTTGATGATTTATTAATAAAAGGACTTAGTTGTTATGAAATTAGAAACCTTAGGCATAATGTAATTTCTAGAATCATAGGAGGTAATTTGTAATTTAAATAAACCCCAGGGAGTGTGTTTGTAATCTACCCTTTATTATAGTACCAGATTCACAACAAATATGTGAAGAATTTATATTAAATTGAATAATTCTAATCCAATACAAATATAAGAAGAATTTAACTGTTTAAAAAACAAAAAAAGTTTTATTATTAAAATCATGCTTCTTGTTTTTTTTTTTTTTAAATAAATGTAATCTTATCGATGTTTGATTGATTGGATTTTTCTATGGATGATCTTTTTGACTTATAAAATAAATAGTTCAAATTATGGAAATAGACTAAAAATTGGCCCATTTGACCCGTCACAATAGTCTGAATCTTGTCTAGGGAAATTGCAAATCAGTGAGATAATAAAAAAATATTTGCATTTTTATGGTGATGCAAATTTCCTTCCTTCGTGTGTTTAGTGCAAATCATTCATGTGTGTTAGAATTGCACTAGAAAAAATTTCATCTATAATGAAATAACTTTTTCACTGTCCCACTGTTCTTCAATTTTTCCATCTTGTCCTTTTGTGTGATGGGTTGGCTTTATAAAAGAGCAATGTTAGGGTCCAAAAAAAATTACTAAAAATTCTACATAATAATCACATCAGTGTGACACACTCATGTGACTATTGTATAGATTTTTTGATAATTTTTTTGAAATTTCTAATATTTTTGTTTATGAAATGTTTGTTCGATATTCTTCTCGAGTACCAAAAGTTAGTCTCTTTTCATTCTTTCATTTCATTAATTAATTAATAAATAAATAAGTTAGAAACTTACAAGTTATAAATTAGAATTCATTCATAATAACATGACCAAAAAAAATTAAATTTTAAATAATTAAATTTTTGATAAATTAAAATTCAATATATTAAATGTTGATAGATATACTACTAACTAGCCTAGAAGAGCCAACCTAACCGAGTTGGATGAATTCTGTATCTGGGCTGCTAGCTATGCTAGCTATGTTGTATTTTGTCTCTGATTTTCTGTTGTTTGTGTGTCTGTTGGTACCTCGTCAATAGATTCTTGGTTGGTGCTGTCATGATTGTGTGGGCTGCTTAGTGCCAACTTAGTTGAAATTGGACGGTTTCACTATGTTGCCCCCCCCTCCCCCCCCTCCCCTTTATTGATGTCTCTCTTCCTTCTTGTAAGGTTTTCTCCCATCAATAAAGTTTTTGTGTTGACGAAAAAAAAAAAAAAAAAAAAAAAAAACTCGAGCTCAACTCAGTTTTGTACATATGGCCCACTATGTGCGATTCACTATTGCTGACTAGCCCATATTAGAGTTTCTTTTCTCTGCTGACATATTCTGTTCTATAGGTATGTTGATTGGAGGTGTTTGCACGGTGGAGTACATGGTTTGTTTCTGGAGGTGAGGATGCATCTTCAGCTGGTTGCTGTTGCTGTTGTTTTTGCTGGTGGTTTTTTTTTTTTTTTTTTTTTTTTTTTTTCTTTGCTGCTGTTTCTGTCTCTCTTCTGTGTTGGTATCTCACCAACCAACCTGAGCTAGCTTTTGTTTGTGTATCTTATTTGGTGCCAACCTAGTTGGGATTAGGTAGGTGCTCAATTTGCTTTTGCTCTTGGCTCTTCCTTTATTGATGTATGGTCATATGTATTCATGTTAATTATCATCAATAAAGTTTCTTTTTTTTTTTTTTTGCTGATAAAAAAGAATATTATGTTCTATAAAAAAGCGTACTGTTTGAATCTTCAAAGGACCTTTAGATGACACCACACCAGTGTCGCTAAAGACTCACCTCTTCTTTTGCAGAATCAGCAGATCAGCTCAAGACGATATAGATTTAATCTTCATCAAATGTCATGATATTGCAAGTAAATTTAAAAAAAAAAATTAAAATATTTTCATCCATATAGATAAAGAAGGTACCTGAAAGAAACCCCAACCCTTGCATGAATGGCGAAGTTTCTCAAGCTCTGAAGAGTTCCCCAAATTATCTCCACAAAGAAGCCTCTGCATGCTGATTACCGGGACTTCCGGTAAGCAAGTAGTATTATCAACTGATATTGTTACGGACAAGTGAGCTCGATCACTCTGGGGACGCACGTACCGAGGTGGCACTGTGGTGTGTGGTTCCTTGGCCAATTCTTGAACAGAAGGCACCTTTAGTGAAGCCCCTAGTGTTTTCAACTTTGGAGTTGGATCCATGGCTATCTGAAAAGAAATGAATATAGTATAGAAGACTTGTACATACCTTTATATTACATATGCTGAGATATTTATATACAAGGAGAGTAACCATGCATATCATATCCCTAAAATACAATCAAGCTTTACAATTACAGCAAGTAACCATATTTTTCTTGTGCACTAAATCAAAGCCACAATTCATGTAAGGTTGACTTGATTACAATTGATATATCATTATAAAAAATAAAAAATAAAAAACAAACAAACAAACAAACAAAAATAAATTAAGAGATAACTAGGAAAAAGAATTTCGGTTAAAAAGAAATTGATAGAGGAAATCACGAAAACAATTTTAGTTTTGGTTTGAAAAAAAACAACTCTAGGATTAAATAAAGAAAGAGTTTAAGAGAGGGAGAATTAGATCATCCATAATAAAAAAATAAAAGGATAAACTGAGAGAGAGAATTGGGTGAAAAGAAATTTATAATTTACTAGCGGTTAACCCATGCCATGGACGGGATATCAAAATTTTAATAACATATTTTTAATAAAAACAATATAGATAGTAAGACTTTTACATGCAAATTACGAAAGTAAAAATCATTGAGACCAACAATTTAAGTCTCACAAATTTACTATAATAATATGCAGATTATGTATCAAATTTTAATTAATTTACCACAAACTCAACCATTTAACGTTCAACTCCCTTGCTAGAGTTGAAAATTTAGGCAAACTCAACCCAAACAACTCGAGCGAAGCTTAAAATTTTTTAAGGATTGAGTATCATATTTTTTAATTTTGTGAAGGCCTGGTAGAAATTTGAATTAAATTTGGATGGACATGGACGGATATATCAAACAACCCAAGCAAACCCAAAACTAAAATTTTATATATTATAGTTGGGAAAGCATCTTTCGACCCACTAAAATCGAATGGCCCTAGCCAATTTACCACGGAAGGAACAATTTCAATGGTATGAGTGGATGAATGCAGATATATTTTTCTCAATCTGCCTAAGTTCAGATGAATGGCGGATGAGAGACCACTCAACCCAACCCAACCCAACCCGATCCGTCAACACCTGTAAGAAAATGATGTTATACTTTTATATTTTGAGTGTTAAAAAATACATTTTATTTAGTAATTATATTTGCTATTTATGAAAGTCAGGCTTTTAATTTTATTATAAAAAAGAAGAATAAAAAAATTTGGGAGGCTCAAAATAGTAAAGAATTACTAAAAAATAGTTCGAAAAAATGCCCAAAATAGTAAACTCTAGACCGCCAAACCAATTCTCATCCATTGGCCAACCCGCTCAATCCACATTAGCTACTAAGCAGACGGATGCAAATTGATTTTTCTCAATCTACCTAAGTTTGGACAGATGGCATATAAGAGGTCACTTGATCCAACCCTATCCAAAGACAGCCCTAGTATATATCAATATATATAATTAATAGGGTCTTTATTTAAGGTTCCTAATATTAAGATTTTATATGATTATATGTAACATTTTCGTAATAGTTGAAATCATTCAACATTTTCATAGAAAATTTCAGAACAGAGAAATTTAAGCTCGTCACAGAGTTGAGGGACCTTAATTAATAAGAAAAAACATATTGGCCCTCTCTTATTACCAAATGTTGGAGATTGATATTTCTCTAATTTGTTCCTTTAATTTTCTAATTATCTTTTAAAACTATAAAAAAAAATCAATATTATTGAGCAAAATGCTATTGGTGTAGTTTTTCCAATATGATTTTTTTTTTAAATACTTTAAAAAATGCACTTTTAGAAAGGAATAATCGAATAAGTAAATATTAGAAAATTTTATTTTTATAATGACTTAAAATAATTTAAATATAATTTTTTAGAAATTATTTTTAATTTAAAAATTGCAATAAAATATTTAAATAGAATAAAAATAAAATTCTCACAAAAGAAAAGAATCTGAATGAGAAAAGAAGGTACAAAGAGAGTTCAGAATAGTATTTTTATTCGATTTGAAAATAATTCTAGATAAATAATAAATTATCACATGTACGGTAAAAATGTTATGGATCATAAAAATTTACTCAAAAAATGAGTGTATGTAATTTAAAATTAGTGAGATGTGGACTACATTGTAGACTAATAATTTTTTTCGATAAATTTTATGAATTTTTTGTATCTCTAGTATTGTTGGAAAAAAAAAATTACACAAGTTGATAAGAGTCTCTATAGTTTTCGTTTTGGAAAAAATAAAACCAGACAAGTTGCTAGAGTGTTGGTAACAGTCTTTGCCCTCATTTGGCATATTGGTTGGGTTGGCTTTTTTTCGATGGTGCTACGTACATTAATTAGTGTATTAATTAATTTTTTTTAAAAAAAAAAAGAAATTCACCATTTTGTTTAAAACATAATTCACCAACTATTCAAAGTGTGTCTTAAAAAATAAAAATAAAAATACCAAATTCACCAATTTGTGCCTTTCTCAGACAAAATTCACCAATAGAAAATTCACCAATAGAGAAACAGAGAGTTGGGAGACAGGGGTTCTTAATCTCTCTCAGAATATCTCTCGCAGGTTTTTTGCCTCAGCCTCAGCCTCCGTCTTATAGCCGAGGCAGCCACGCGCATCGCGCGCCTCTTGACGCCAGACAAACGGGCACGCCAGCCAAGGCACTCACGTGCCTCGCCATCATATCTGGCACACCTTTTGATGCATCGGCCACGCCTTTTAATGGCACGCCTTTTGACAGATTGGGCACACCTTTTGAGGGCACGACTTTTGAGGGCTCGATATCTACATCCATGTCTATCTTTTGGGCAGCCTATATACACACTCATACAGTGTCTTCTACACCGGTCAGCTTTATCAATCCCTTTGTTTCAACCTCAAATAGGTTTCTATCTTCACCCCTATTTGAGTTTGAGGGGGGGTTATACACAGTATCATGTATAAGTCGCTCATGGCGGACTCCCTAAGTCGCCCCCTTGGTGCACCACCACAACCTGCTACAACGGTCCGACATGACCCCATAAACTGTCTTCTACATCGGTCTGACACGACCACAGTGTCTGCTACATCGGTCCGACATGACCTCGTAAACTGTCCTGCTACATCGGTCCGACATGACCTCGTAAACTGTTCTGCTACATCGTCCGACACGACCATACTCGCCCCCTTGGTGCACCACCACAACCTGCTACAACGGTCCGACATGACCCCATAAACTGTCTTCTACATCGGTCTGACACGACCATACAGTGTCTTCACCAACGGTTCGACACAACCATACAGTGTCTCCTATCCCATTTTTATTTATCAGTTTATTTTTCTGTTTTGTGACTCTCTCCAAACTCAAGTTGGCTAGTGCCTATCCTCCTTGAGTTTGAGGGGGGCTGTTAATGTAAATTATAAATTACCACTACCACTCACTCCACCTACCACCTCCACTACCACCCACTCCACCTACCACCTCCACTACCACCTACACCTACTCCCAAATCCTCTCCTATATAATAGGAATCCTTGTAATATACATAATACACAAATCAATCAATAATACAATCATATATACAATTCTCTATTTTACATTGATTTCTTATACTTTGATCCCAAATCTTTCTTCTATTTTGTTTTTGGTCTTGAGAATTTGTTCTTGATCATGGATGCTGATGAGGTAGTCATGCTCAAGCAAGATGGTTCAAATTATCCCAACTGGTCACACTTTATGAGCCAACACATGATCCAAACTCGCAGACAACTTTGGGACTATGTTTGCGGCATTGTAACAGAGCCCAATCCAGGCTGTGAAAACTCCACAAGTTTCTCTCAACAATGGAAAACTAAGAATGCAGAAATCTTGAACATGATCTGTATATATGTACTCAATCCTTCAGTTTCGATTCAATTACGGACCTTCAAATCAGGCAAAGAGGCTTGGGACTACTTGGCTGAGCTATATGGTCACTCCAATTTTGCCAAAAAGTATCAATTGGAGACTCAGATTAGAGCAACCGAACAAGGAGATAGAACAATCAAAGAGTTTCATGGTGGAATGGTTGGTTTGTGGAATCAACAAGCCAAGCTTGAGGATAGAGATTTGAGTTTTCTAAGCAGTCACAAAAAGAATCAAGACGAACGTCTTGTGCAGTTTCTTATTGCTTTGAGAGATGAGTTTGAGCCGATTAGAAAGCCTATACTGTGTCGATTATTTCTACCGAGTGTTGAGAAAGCTGTTAGGGAGTTGGAAGAAGAGGAGATGAGGCTTCAGCCTTCAATTGTCTCTGAATTTTCCAATCTCTCAATCAAAACAGAAGACAGTTTTCAGATAGGAAAAGTCGAGTATGATTATAGTGGTGGATTTGATCAGTCACACAAATTCAATAAGCCATCTTCATCTCGGGATAGGTCTGCTATTTATTCTTCTTCTTCAGTGACAGAAACTAATGATTGGCCTTCTTTCCTGGGAGGTTTGGCCAAAGTTGCCATTGCCTCATTTGCTGCAGTACAGGCTTCTCGGACACTGTATAATTACTATACTGAACATGGTTCGCTCCCTTTCATCATCAATTTTCTCATTTCATCTGGGTTCCTTCTGATTTTTAGTATATTTTATGGCATGATCTGATTTGAATTTACTTATTTATTTTTGTCAAAATATAGTAAATTCCCTGAAGTTTGGATTACAGGTAACTCCGTAGTTTGGACATAATTACATTGGTCGCCTTTAAGTAACTCTTTAGTCATATAAATAAAAAACAAAAAAGGAAAATAAAATAAAATAAAATAAACGCCATCTTTTTTTTTTCTTTTTTTTCTTTTTTTGACTATGTATATTTGTCTTTATTTATTTCAATGTTTATTCATCATCTGCATTAGTTAAAAGGGAGGTTTGTGCAGTTATGATAAAAGTGTGGAACTAATATAATATTTTATTTTCATATCTTTGGAGAAGTGAATGTAATTTACCCAATTTTTTAAATCATGATTTGAAGTGATTTTTCTTCTATTATTACTCATGTGCCTGGATAAACCCTCACTATTACATGATATGATTGTTC